ATTCGTTGTTGCAGCCCTAAAAATGAGTAAACTCTGCTTTTTAAATTTTAAAACAAGAAGAAAAAAAATCATTATTTAAAAATTGATACATATAGAAAATATCCCTGCTTGAACCTTGTAATAAAAATGCACATTTTAAAGGGTTAGTTTAAATGTTATTGACATTAAAATAAAAATAGATTAGAAATCACTTTACAAAGCTGTAATTTTTTATTCATGTTAAAATGCTTAAAGTATATTTTTGTCAATAAACTGTAATAAAGGGCGTCATGCCATAGAATCAGAAGGTAATAAACCTTTAAAGAATCAATTTAAATTAAATGTAAATGTGCAAACAGGCTCTTGGTCTGACTAGACAAGCATGTTTAATTTTTAAATGTATTCAACATTACCTACCTGATGAGAAACTGATGGGCTTTACTCGACTCCACTGCCTCCTGAATGCCAATGGCTCCTTTGTTTCCTGGCTTTCCTTAAGATGGGCATATGCTGTACGATATTTTCAATCATTGTACTCGGCGACAGCTCAAACTGTACCACAAAACCGCAGGGTTTAAAAGTTCACAGCTTATGATGTGTGTAATTGCGCTGTACAGCCCGATGCTCTGATGCAATCTAATTGCTCACACTGCACGTCCAAAACCACATCGGACCCAGCAGCGAGTAATGGCGCTGGTTTGACTCATCAATCTGGAAGAAGAAACACTCCCTTGTTTGCACAAGCGCGGTGCGTGGGGTTCTGCTAAATCGGCTCGTAGCTCTGCTTCGAAAACAGGATTTGCCCATGAACACCTTACATGGGCAGACTGAATTTCAAACAGGTTTGTTACCTCCTATAAACTACACGACATAAGAGGCACAATGAAGCTGAAACGCCGCCCGATCCAAAAAATTCTCACATGACTGGAAAATCGACCAGAAAAGGGCAAAAAAAAATCATACAGTGTATGCCCAGCCCTCACTGGACAGACTTATTAATCCAGGTGTGTCTGACCAATGTTCTCATGGTTACTGAAGTAGTGGAGGAAGCAGTGGACTTTGGCATATAGCCCATTCTCCTTGGTGTGTAGTTCCTTTATCATTAAAATTTGAAACTGTTTTTGAGCTGAAGTTCTACATGGAAAGTCACCTTGAGGCGTTTACAGCTCCATTCAACTGAGAGATATGTAAAAATAAAAATTAAAGAAACTTTGTGTTTGGAGAGAAGGGCGAGGGAGGGAACGGAATTGCATGGAGTGGGCACAATGCAGTTAATGAACTCCGGGGAAGATGTCACAACCATAGATAAATGTCTCAAAGATAAATGGCGCTGGGCATGGGTGGAGGAGTGAGGGCAATTTAGTAACTGGTGAACCAGGCACTTGCCTTTACACGCTGTGCTCCAGAAACGCTTAGCAGCCAAACTGGGTGTCAAAAGAAATGTGCTACATGCAAGTGGTAGATATACATGCACTTTTGCCATCTTCTGGCTGTCTCCCAGATATTCCAACAGCTCCAAAAAACAGCAGAGTAGCTGCCCCAAGCTGTCCACTGCAGTAACGCCCTGGTAAATTTCTCCAATGTGAGATGAATAAAGTTCAATAAATTAATTTGTTTCACCAATGCCTGATGCTAAAGGTAGAACTTTAATTTTAAGAATTCCTTTGCCTTGAATTTAGCGAACATTGCTGGGTGATACTGTATTGCTTCCTCTGGCTGCAGCTGTTCGAACATGCAGGGCAGCCTGCCTCCAAGCCGTTGCCATCTGTCTTCTTGCGTTGGCCAAAATATTCCCCTATAGCGGATAATAATAAGTTCCAAAGTGGAACTGTGGGCGCATTTTGCAGTGTCCGAATGTGCCAAAGCAGGAGGAAAAGTCTGGGGCAATCCCCTCCTCTCTGAAAGCAGCTACTCTGGGATATGCAGGGCAAGGGCTCATGATGCTGCAGCTAATCACAACTGACTTTTTCCCACTGACGTATCTTGAAGCTGTTAACAGGCCCATGCCTAGTTTCCTCCATGTTACATTGTAATGAACAAATGCATTTTCTCCTCAGAATCCCGACAAGATGATGAAACAGAAGACGGCCCTATGGAGGAGGATTGTCGTGATGAACAGGTATGCTTTTGAAAAGTACCTATTTTCAACAGAGTTAAAGTGCTGGTGTTGCTGCTGAAATACAGTTTGATTTGTATTTTTTTTTCATCATAAGGATGACTTTCTGGGCGGCCATGAGAACATGCAGGACATGGACATCCTTGACATGAACGTTCTGGATGAGACTGAGAATGAAGTTGGAATGTCAGCTGATGATCCGGAACATGAAGAGAATCCTGACAAAGATGACAACGCATTGCTGGGGGATGAACGCAACTTCACTGAATTTGAGTCAGGGCAAGAACCTCAAGGGACAGAGGTAAGAGGCACAATTATCTGCCCAAGTTACAATCACTTTAAATTAAAAAGAGAACTGATTTTCCCTCATTTATCAGTAGGGCTGGTTTGAAATTGGTGTGTGAAATAAAGAGGTGACAGGTTTATCAGCCAGTTTAGTAACTCTGTCCATGGTGTATTTGGACATGGTTAAATGGGATTGCTGTTTCAGATCAAATTTTCTAACTCTGGATAATTGTTCAGACAAGAAAAGTGAATTATCATAAATTTAGAATGTGCTTTATTCCATTAGCTCAAAGAATGAGAAAGCTTTACACTCTCCTATTAAATATTTTTTTATTTTTTTTATTTGACAAATCAAGAGTGAAGCATTTCTTCAACCTTCTGATTTCTTTGTTTTTAGTAACTTGCATAACTCATTCAGTAATTGAAAAAGTGGAAATTTAATAGTTATTAAATTTGGTCTGGCAGAGATCTCCAAAAAAGCGATGACTAGTGTATTTTCTTTCTCTCAACTAAAGAAAAAAATTAGGATTTCACAAAATATTCTTAAAATGATCTGTTGTAGGATAACCACGACCAGATTTGACCTCCTGCCTTTAATTCGTTTTTTGAGATAGGGCTGAGTTTTGGTTCTGGAAAAGTTTTTTATTTTTTATGGAAATGTTTATGGACCTGATTGAAAATGCATGTGAAAGGAGGCATGTCCTGATCTGATACGGATGTAAGCCAAAAAAAAACCCAAATAAGTCTGCATCTAAACCCTGTGATAAAAGCCAGGTAAACAGATAAAACACTCTGCTTCTGTTTATGTAACCCACTGGTTAATAATAGATAGGCCACTTGTTGTCCTACCTGTTGTTGACTGTTCTCTGAGGAATATTGCTTAAACCTTGTTTAATATTCTAAACTACAAAATGAGTGACAGAATTATTATTGATTTGAGCTGATATTCTATCAGGTCAATGTTATCACTGCTCAAAACTGGAATTTCAGTATTGGAAATGGAAAAAATTGTATCAGGACATTACTATGTGAAAGTCAAGACTAGGTAGGCAACCCTACGTCGGATCTTGAGTGCTGCTGGCCTGCAGATTTTCCTGAACTGCAGTTATCAGAATCGGCTGTGCTAAAGCAGGGAAACCTCTATAACCTGCAGGACAGCGGCCCTGGAGGACTGACTTTGGGCCTGCGTGTTTAAAGGGGATCTCAACTCATCCATCTACTTTCTTTCCTTCCAGAATCCAAATGCTGATGCTGAAGAAGAAAAAACAGGTACAGTAGCAAAAGGTTGATCAAAGGTTCGTTTTCGTGTTGAGTTGGATATGAAACGGTTTAGTTTCAACCACAAGGAGAGACTGGAAGCCCAAAGGAAATTGCTGACTTTGTGCTGTGATTTTGTTAACCTATAAAAATAAAAATCCACACTGCTTGTGATGATCAAGTAAATGTTTTGTTTTTTTCTCAAACAGTTAACAGTCTGATGCATAATGTCAGCAATTATATTTTCTTTATGGTCAGGGATGATTGAGCCATTGCAAGTGATTGTAGCATTTCTAGGTTTTGCTAAATTGAGACAAAGAAAAAGAAGATCCCGTACGATTTGTGCAATGCAGAAATGACGTGGGAATGGAACGACTCCACCTGAGCTGAAGTTCTGTCCAAAGAAACCTGGATCTCGGAGAATGTGCCCCTGCTGGAAGAATATGGAACTGCAGCGACCCGTGGCTGCTGCTAAAAAGCTGGTGTTGTGGCTCTGTTCAGAACTGAACAGTATTTGTGTGTTTTGGATCAGGAGACTAGAGATATGTGGTTCTCCTTGAGAAATGAACCCAATCGTTTGCCGCACCTTAGTTGATTGGTTGTTCTGCAGCCTTTGGGTCCTCTTCCAGTCTCTTTGTTAGGGTCTTCTTCTGTTGATACTTGATTTTAAGAGCACAGCCAAGTGATCATGAGGTTCCTAATCCAGGCCGTGCCAGTTCCTCGTTAACCATTGATGTGTTTCAGAAGTGATTAAACTCTGCCATTCTATTCCTGTTAAATCCGTAGAAAATAACAAAGTAGCCGGGTCTTGTTTATCAGAGCCACTAAAAGAAGACCAGCACCAGAGCCCAGAAGAAGAGCAAGCTGCCGGAGGGGAAGACGGCGTGTCCAACGCTGGCGCCAAGGCCAGCAGCACTGCATCCGAGGATGGGGATAACACCAAAGAGGCCGGGGATGGGAATACCGTCCCAGAAGAGACACTTGAAACTGAAAACAAAAGCTCAGAGGCTGTTAGTGTAAGCGAACAGGGTGGCTCGGGTGAATCTGTTGATTCAGAAAAGGGGTCTAAGAAGGGTGAGGAGGACGAGAAGACAATGGATGAGGCTGCCCCGGATTCAACCTCAGCACTGAAAGAGTCCTCTTCTGTAGAGGGCGATGATCAGAACAAGAGGTTTGTTGCTTTCTGTCTACTAGAAACCAAATGGTTATCTCTGTTGCATTGGCCCCTTTGTGATTACAAAAAAAATTGGATGCTCTTTCAAGGTAAATTTTCCTCCGGAGTTGTGATGATTTTTCTCATGCCCTCCACTCACCTGTCTCACTTTACTGTTTAGTAAATGGTAATGAAGTTAAGAGTGTGTTATCATTTAATCACCATTAAAGCGCTTTACTGAAACATCGAAGCTTAGTAAAGCTAAGTATGATAGGCGTTCCAGCATGCTCTAGTTCTTGTTTATTCACAACTTTTTTCCTCTTTCTAGCTCTGAAGAAAAGGAAGCCAAGCCGGACTCTAAAGATGAAAAGAGTGAGAGGAACTTTTTATTTACATTTTTTTTTTAATCTGCAGTGCATTGCATGTGAGCTCACCTATATTTAATGCCTGTTCCCGCAGCAAACACTAGCCGAAATCTGTGGGTCAGTGGGCTGTCCTCCACCAGCAGAGCGACTGATCTAAAGGCGCTATTCAGCAAACATGGAAAGGTAAGTTATGCAGAATTACATGGGGGGCTATAAATCCTTTGGGATGCACCACTATTGGCATCATTCCTTCTCTTTTTCTAATTTGAACAAAATCTCTGAAGGATGAATTTATTTTTTCCCACTGAGTATGTATTAGCCATGTTTTCAATTTTTGTAGAGTCCTTAATTAGATCAGAAGGAAGTGATTGATGCTAATTTCTATATAAATTCTTATATAAACAATGATTTGATTAATTTTTCTAAGCAATATTTACTCACTAATGATTGACCTGTTGGAAGATATGCAACAAAATGAACAAAGCGAATGGCAGTCAATAATCTGCCGAATACTTAAGATGTGCAAAAGTATTTGAAATGAATTATTTTAAACTTTTATCAAAAGATTTTTTTATTTTTTTCAAACCCTAAGACAAAGAATTTCAAATAGGTAATTTTATTCTAATTTCCAATTTATACTTCGATTAAAAAGGGAAGTATTTTTATATATTGAGTTGTGGGTACTATGTTTTCCTCCAGGTTGTTGGAGTCAAGGTGGTGACCAACGCTAAGAGCCCCGGGGCTCGGTGCTACGGGTTTGTGACCATGTCATCCTCGGAGGAAGCCACCAACTGTATCAGTCACCTACACAAGACTGAGCTTCATGGAAAGATGATCTTTGTAGAGAGGGTAAGTAAAGAAACATGATTTTATTAGTGACTTGATGGATTAATAGTCCTCAGTTCTGCTGCTGCTGGTAATGGTTAATTGACATCGTAGCCTATGAATATACAGAGCAGGACTTAGGATACCGAAACATTTTGCTTAAGCTGCAGAGTAGTTTGCTGCAATGAGGTTCTTCAGTCCACATCTTGGGTCATCAGGTCTGCTTGGTAGAACGTCTGGAAGTTAGGGATATCTCATGCGCTGCAAGCAACAATCCGTAACAATATCCTAGACTAGGGATCTGTAACTTGTGTCTCTAGAGCCACATGCGACTCTTTGGACCCTCTTCATAGAGGCTAAAATGTATTTAAAGAACTAAATAATGCACTAGTCTGAAATGCTTTAGTGGTTTTTATAAGACGGAAAAGAATGACATTAAAATGTTTTTGGAACCATTTATCCTTTAACTAGCTTTGAATTTATATGTTTTAATAGTATTTTAAAAGCTAAAAATACATAATTTGTTGGTAAATAATTTACTATACGAGATAATAAAAAAGGCATTTTTTTTTTTTTTGAAAAAGTCGGGTTATATTTTGTGGCTCTAAACAACTTTTACATGGTTGAACGCAGGTCCAAATGCCTCTTTGGATATGAAAGGTATTCTTTCTTCAGTATGAGCAGTGGACAGTGAGCTCTCCTGCTCTGTTTGGATCTGTACCAGGTCCGATATTTCTAAATGGTTTCCATCCACCCCTGTAGTGCTCAGAACCAAGAACCTACCAGTTTTTTTTTCTTGTTGATCCTGTTTAAAACCCGACCTGGACATGTGAGTAATGGTACAAAATTCAGCCTGTGGTCACATTGGACACGCAGCCTTTCACGAAGGCTTTATTTCTGCAGCCTAAGCAGAATACTTTTTGAACAGGGATTCAATCACACAGTCTCATCCTCCCATGCTGGTGAACATTGCACATCCAGATGACCATCTGGAAACAAGATGAAGGCTGAAGGGCCTTTTCTTTTTGACAAACTCAACAACATGCATACAACTGTTAGTTATACTATACTAACAGTAATGAATAACGCTTACAACATGACGCTTTTACCTCCGGCTCCAAATATAACTTTGAGCTCAAATTGAATTATTCCAATCTTGCTGTTTATTTAGATAAATTTACTACTTTACAGTTAGGCTTTGCTCTTATTTTTAGAACAAGAAAACCCTCTAAAAGTCTTCAATTCATTGTAGGCTGCCTCCTTGCATGCTTAAAATGCTTTATGGTTTTAGAGAATCAGTTGGAAGTTCCCTGAAGCTAACAAGAGATTAATTTTTTCAATAACTTGACACACATTTTGATATTAAAAACAAATGTATTCTTATTCTTTTTAGGCTAAAAACGAGCCGGCAAGCAAAAAGCCAGCTGACTCAAGCAAGTCCGCCAGCGACAGGAGACACTCCACTGACTCCAAGTAAGAATACAAGGTTGATTTCTGGGTGTTCATATCATCTTGGACATGTGTTAATGTGTTGTCTTATAAAAAACTTGTTTTTCTTCTATGTAGATCTGAAAAGGGTGATAAGACAGGAGATGACAAAGGTGACTCATTTTTTTGTTTTAAATTTTAAATGACTTAAAATAAAAATAAAAACTCACAGAGCATCTTAAGTTTTACCATCTACTTTTTTTTCCACAGATGAAAATGAGAGGACAGTAGTTATGGACTCGTCTAAGGGAGAACCTGTCGTCAGCGTCAAGACCAAAAGCAGAAGCAGGGAGAGGGTGAGAAAACGATTCCTCATCTGCTTTACTTTGAGCTCTGCATTATCACAACCTTTCTTTTCCTCTAATCAAAACAGTGTTGTAGTGGCTTATTTTTTTTTTGTTACACCTTCTCTTGTATCTCTTTAGAGCTCTAAGAGTCGGAGTCGTGCTTCTTCCAGCAAAGAGAGAAGAGACATCTTGACGTTTGCCCAAATCAAGGCGCAGAGAAAGAGGGAGAAAATGAGGCAGAGGGAGAGGGAGATAAGAGAGGTTGAAAGATTTAGATTCAAGTAAGGATTAAAAGCATCAACAGACCTTGTTCTCTTGATTTACATATAAAAAAATAAATAAAAGAAAACTCCTTTATGGATTCCTTTACAGAGGTCTGGGCAGTGTGATGTAGAGTAGATGCTAAATAAAGATCTCCCTTTTACTTCCAGTGATCGCGGTCGTGATAATCCATCAGAACGTGAGCGAATCCGCCTCTTCCGAGAGAGGGAGGAGAGGATGATAAACAGCCGCCGATGGCTGGAGGTGTGTTCAGAAGAAGAAGAAGATTAGAAGTTTTCCAACTTCTCGTCATTGCCTAACGGTTGTGGTTGGATTTTTTTTGCTGCCAGGTAGAAAGACAGCGCCTCGAGGCAGACCGAATGGAGCGCCAGTTCCTGGAGCGTGAAAGGATGCGAATCGAGTACGAGCGGCGTCGCGAGCAAGACAGGATAATGAAGGAACGCGAGGAACTGAGGAGGCAGCAAGAGCAGCTGCGCTTTGAGCAGGACAGACGCCCCGTAAAGAGGCCATATGACATGGATGGAAGGTAGACTGCTCAGTGATAGTCTGTAAAACTACATTTATTTCATTGCCCGTAGATTTACTGAACTATCCTTGAAGTACAACTCAGTATTGGTTTCTTTTCCAGAAAGGACGATTGGCCAGACAAGCGCATGGCTATGGATGACCGTTTTGGCCGCTCAGACTTTGGTCGCCAGGACCGCTATCAGGACTTTGATCACAGAGATCGTGGCCGTTTCACTGGCGATGGCCCGGTAAGGTGGCTGGGATCCTCCATTTGTACTTGACACTCTCAAAAAGCAAGACCTGTGGGTACAAAGGTTCAGGGGTGTCATAAATTCAGCTAACAGCTTAGTGAAAACTTGTTATATAAATCTAATGAGCAAAAACAGCTCACTTTAAATTCACTCTTTAAAGAAAAGCAATTATAACCTGTTTCTTTCTGCAGAACTTCTCAGACAGAAATGGCAGAGGTTCCTGGGGGGGAGGCTATGATAAGCGTGTGAACCCTAGGTGAGCATCACTCAGACATACCGCCACCTTCTGTCCAGACTATTATAAATCCGGTCTGATATGAACAGTAGTAATACTTTATTTTTCTTTCTCCAAGGGAGGGCCGTGAATGGGACTCTGGCAGAAAGATGGATGGAGACAGACCATGGCAAGGTAATCATAACTTTATGTTAGTGATCCTCCTAACTTGTTCGTTTTTTTTTTTTTATGATGATGATAGTTTAGATCATTGGACATGTGATGGTTTACAAATAGAACTCAGAAAAAGACTGCATTCATATTCATTCAGCTGCTCTGAAAGGGCATAAATGTTAGCCTAGTAAACTAGCCCAACACACCAGCTGCCAAAATCATTTTTGCCTGCAAGTGGTCTAGCCTCGATCAATGCCCCAGGCCCTAGAACTGGTGGGCAAATCACAAAGCAGAGATATGTTTTGAATTCCTGGATGCAAAGCAGGCGGGGTTTTTAGGGCGGGACGACAAAGCTGAGCGACGCAGGAGAAAGCACAACAAGGAAGATGGCAACAACTATTGAACAGCTCTCGTTTGACTCAGCTTTGGAATCAGTTTTGGAAGGATTAGACTTGGGGTTTTTGTTAAAATGTGAGCAGGAAGAGGCTCTACGCTCATTCATTTTTAAGAGGGACGTTTTCGCCGTTTTACCGAAATGCTGTTTGTGTACACTCCCGCACCAGCTTTCTGTTGCACTTACTGCGTCACAGTCAGTTGCGCTCAATGGTCAGAGTGTTGGCCAATAGGCAATGGGTTGTTCTCATCAACAATGTTCCGATGTCTCATTCATCTGGGCCAAACTAAATTACACATTTAATCTCACATTTGGTCTGCTTTATCAGGCTACATAAATGTTGCACATTATTGCACCAGTTAAAGGTGCAACTAATTATTTATAAAAGTATATTTTGATCTAAACAGTCTCTTTGTGGCGCTGACTTTATATTATGTTTTATTTCCTGAGTGGTGAAAAATCCCAAGTTAATGTTTTCCTCCATTATTGCCTGTTAACCTCTATTCTTCAGTCAGCTCTGAGCGACTTCTGTTTTTAAGATTGGTCATTTATATATTGTACACAGCCCGGTAATATTTACTAGAGAAATGGATGGACATTTAAGCTTGCACATGATAAAGTGTGAATGAATACCTTCATAAGTTGTGGTGGCTTTGGAATTTAGACCAACAACCTTGATGTTTTCTCTCCTTAAACCAGGTAGAGAGGGGGGCATTCCAGGACAGAGCCACATGCCACGTGGAGGAATGTCAGGGTGAGTAGTTAAGGAGTTTTTATTCAACTTCCTTATTTGCTTCCTAGAAGCCATAAGATGGGCCAGCACTAATTGATGATTTCTGTCTTGCAGCCGTGGAGGTTACATGAACACAGGAACATCTCAGTCTCTATCTGGAGCTTTGAACAGACAGAACCAGATGATGCAGGGAGGAGGGATCCAGGGGGGAGCCTTTGGACGGCGCTACTGATTTGTGTGATAACGATGTACAGTTTAAAAGTTTTTTTCTTTTTTTTTTTTTTTTCGTCATGGATATGACGTTTTCTTTTGTACCTCTGATTTTTTTTTTTTCTATTTTTTTTTTCTGACTAGATTTGACTTTTCTGTTTATTGTACAAATTGATCATTTTCAGTGTAAGTGAATCCAACTAGACTGTAATAACCTCAGATGTTCATTAGAAACCTGGGTTCATGGACCTAACTTCAGCATCCAAGTCTTTTTGTTCTATTTATAGCAGATGGGCTTTTCTGTGAACTACTAGTTCTTAAATTTTTTTTAAGCCATCTGCACATATGAAGAATTTTAAAGAAAATGTCAATTCATTATCCTGTGCATGTATTATTACTTTTTTTTCTTCACCTTTTTCAAGTGGGGTTTATACTGAATTCAAATGTTCAGTCAGGTATGTTTTTGATTTTGTGTAACAATTTGAGATTTCCTGTTTCACCATTCAAGAGTGTCTTTTAATATTGGACCAGCTCACAGCAGCGGGTGTCCTGTTAGATTTACAGGGTGAAATAAACATTTTCATTTTGTGTCTTGAAAGAAAAATGCATCCAGTTGTGGTTGAAAGCATCAAATTTAAGAGTCTTGTTATTATTCACAACACAGGCACATATACACTATATAGCTAGAAACATTGGGTCACACCAGAATCGGTGTAGATGCTTAGATCATTCATGGCTACATGTAAAGAAAGTTTGCTATGGTCCATTGTCATATCTTTGATCAGAACGAATGAAATATTGTTATTGAATACTGTGTTCTGTACAAAGGTGAATGTGCTGACAGCAAAAAATGGAAATAAAATTAATAAGTGGAGGCCTGGATTTGGAGTCGCACAACATTTGAGTTGAAAACAAAACTACAGGCTGATCCAACTTTAAGGCAATGTCCTCAAAACAAGTCAAAATTATACTTCATATTGGATGTAGCCTACACGTACCTGTATGACCCCACAAAGCCTGGTCCTGCTCCTGATTAGATGGTGGATGTTCTGAGGGATCTCCTCCTAGACCTGGACTAAAGCATCCCCCAAATCCTGGACAATCAGTGGTGCAAGCTTACGTGACAGGAACTGCGGACATAGCATTTTCCTGCATTAGGAGAAACGCAGGGCCAAGCTCACCAGCATATGGTCTAACAAGCGGTTTAAGGATTTTACCTTGGTATCTAATGGCAGTCATGCTACTTCTGGTGAGCACATGGAGGCCTATGTGGCCCTCCGAAAAAAGAAAAAAAAAAGATGTTGCAGGCAGCAGATTGATCTCCACAGTGTCTAGACTCATCCATCTACATGTGCTCAGTAAAAACACTGGTGTTCTGTGGCAAATGCCAGGCATGTTGGGCTGTGAGCACAGCCAATCTGTCGACATCAGGCCTCCGTACCATCCTCATGGAGTTCGTTTCAAACCGTTTGTGGCCTGTTGGAGGTCATTTTGCAGGGCTTTGGCAGTGTTCCTCCTATTACAAAGGCGGAGGTTCTTCTTGCCACATCAACACCAGCATTCAAAAATGACTGAAAAGTCAGCCCGAATGCATAGGTACTGATAAGTGGTCTGTGGATCTAACTCTTCATACCCAGTTCTTGCAATGGTCATCTGGTCTAAAACTGACTCACTAAGATAAACAATCAAAAGGGTATGTACACTATGATGCTAAAAGTATTTCCTCATCCATCCAAGTCATTGGAATAAATGTACAGGTGTTCCAATCACTTCTCTGGCCATTCATATATAAAATCAAGGACCTAGGCTTGCAGACTGTAAGATAAACATTTGTCCAAGAATGAGTCAGGAACTGGGATAAGATGCCACCTGTGCAAGAAATCCAGCTGTGAAAAGACTTTTGCTTTAAAAATCATGACAAAATGTTAGGTGAACTGGCTTCTCTAGAGAGTGTGCATGGTCGTATGTCTCTATGTGTCTATGTGTAAAATTTATTAAAAAAAAAATGTTCTTAATTTTTTTTTTTATTTGTTAAATCAATTCTTCTTACCAAATAAAATGTATTTAGATTTTATTGAGTGAAATTAACAAAGAATTTCTATTTGGAAAAAGTTGCTTGTCTTTTTGTAAATAAATGGTACTTCCAAGTTATTTCAGTGTTAATACTTTGGTTTCAAATTAAACTTAGCTGTTGACAAATAGCTCCCAGTATTATTATTTTAGTCACTTTATTTGTCTGTCCATTTGTGTTTTTACTATTAAAAACACCAGCAAAGCTCAAACATCCACATAAAAACATCTGGTTCCCTGATGGACTTCATCCATCAGTAGATGGCGATGTATTCCCAGATATAAGCAACATGAAAATAAACTGAACTGAAGAACCTGCCTGACCTGCATGAATTGATGATGATCTTCAAAGCCTCAGTCTGACTGCAAATGTGCAGCAGGAAGTAGGAGAGACTGGCAAAAGTATTCACACCCCTTGAACTCTTCCACATCTTGTCACGTAGCAAGCACAGACATAAATACATTTTTATTGGAATCTTATTGGGAAGAATGACGCAGAGTGGCTGTAAAGTAGAAAGAAAATTATACATGACTTGAGACATTTATTACAAATAAAAAGCTGAAAGTGAGTTGTCCATAAGAAACATTGTATGCGGTGGAGAATTAAGACTGTGCATCACTCTGAACACACCATCCCCACTGTCAAATATGGTGGTGGCAGTATCATTTTCTGGGGGTGCTTCTCTTCAGCAGGGACATGTGGTCTCATGGAGAGATGGATGGAGCCAAATACAGGGAAATCTTGGAAGAAGCTTTGTTGGAGTCAGAAAAATATTTGAGAGAGTTCACCTTCCAGGAGAACAATGAGAATAAACATATAGTTTGGGCTACAATGGAATGGTTTAAATAAAAACTAATATGCTAGAATGACGAACCTGCTGTAAGATCTGAAAACTGCTTTTCACAAACAATCTCTGCCATATTTTCAAAGAGAATGTGTAAAAATCTAAGTCCCTAAATGTGTAAAGTTGCTAGAAACAGACCCTTACAGACTTGTAGCTGTATGTCAGCAAAAGGTTATTCCACAAAGTATTAACTCATTCAGTATTTTTTTGGTAACAAATGAAAACTACTATGCTTCATTTCTTCTTCACAATTCTATATAACTTTGTCTTTCACATAAAATTCCAATAAAATAAATTGAAGTTTGTGATTCTAATGTGACAAAATGTGGAAAAGTCTGAGGCCCACTGTAGCTCAGGAGTAAAGAGGACCTGTTATGAAGGAGGGGATGTGTAAAGGCTTCGACTGACCACTCCTGAAGTCCAAATAATTCACCAGCTGTAGGAGAGTCAACATGAAATAACACAACCACCACTGGAAGAAGAAAAACAGCAGCTCGATCCTCAGAAGGGTTGTAGATGCCTCAGAGGGACTGGATCGAAATGTGTGTTCATCCATTGAACCAAACTGAGGTCAAAGCAAAGAAGAGGCCCTGCTGATCATCAGCCCCTGGCTGTGAAACATGATTTACCCAGATTCCTGCAGCCTAAAACGTGAAGATGTTTATTTTGCTTTGATGTGTCTTCTGATTTGATTTGAAGAGCTATTCTTAGCTTTAATTATTCATAAGAAGATCTATTGTTTTTGTACAGCTGTAAATATAAAACTGGCATTTTTAAATAAGAGAATAATTACAAAATAATCAGCCATAGTGACTCATGTGCCACAATTTATTTACATTTTGTGTTTTCATTAATGTAGTTTCACTGTTCTGCACACATGGGTTGAATTACAATGTTTGTGTTTCATTAAAACTAAACTGATAAGTGATAGTCAATAATTCATCCCCTTAAAGAAACAAACTATAAACCTAAAGTCTAATTTGGTCATGACATCCTGTTATTGACTTATAATAGTATCCCTATTACCTTATATAATACCTTCAGAACTTTGTTTGTAGGAGTTGATTTATAAATATAAGAATGAGATAAGCGGTTTAAAAAAAAAAGCTGCAATGAAATGCATTCTTGTCCTGAATCATAACAATAAATAAAGTTTAAAGGTCTTGTCATATGATCAAGTTTTAATAACCAGTTTTGGCGGATCTCAGCCTGTGTGATTCTGATGAAATGTGATCAAACTCCCTTCTATACCGAATGTTGCTGATCCACCGTGGGAGGATCTTCCCGGAGTGTCCTCACCAGCAGAACGAAAACAAAGCTGAGACAACATCCTGATTATGTTCCAACAAAGATGCAGTTCAGAGAAGCAGCAAAGCTCCTTCATTTGGCTGCAAGCAAACATAACCTAGAAACACTGGTTTAAAATGCTAATAAATACCTCATGGATAACTTTATAACACTTTAAAAGGGGAAAATCCCAAATTTATCTGTAATGAAACGTATGGATTGTTAACTCCAGAGGAAGATGCAATTAAAAAGTCTGAATCGAATCAGATCAAGGTTTATTCATAGATATAGTCTCTATTCTTTACCTGTAACCATGGTAATTAATTTCAGACAAAAAAAAATATAATTACCATTAAGGTGGACTTTCCTTTAATTTCTTGGACTTTTATTTTACTTATTGTTGTAACATGAACATTTCCCTACTGTGGGAACAGTAAAGCCTAACCTAATCTAGTATTTGAACTACACACATCTCTATTAGTGATGCACTGCTGGATTTAACTTGTTGATTTCCAATCTACAATTTTAGAGCTATATAGAAAACCAATATAGATTTAGACATGTTCAAGAACTCTTTATATTTAAAAGTCAATTCAATCCAGAGAGTCTCAAACAGAGAGAGAAAAAAACAGCAATTAGAAGTTTTATTGACATAAACACATATGGATACATATGTGTTAGCAGGTCCAGGGCTGCCAAAAATTGGCCCTCGAGGGCCACTGTCCTGCAGGTTTTAGAGGTTTCCCTGCTTCAAGCACAGCTGATTCTGATGATTGCAGGGCAGCAAAAGTCTGTTTATCAGCTATCAATGAAAATCAGCTGTGCTGAAGCAGGGAAATATCTCATACTTGCAGGACAGGTAAACTTGCCCTCGAGGTAAACATAGGTTAGAGACGTCTTCTCCTCCAAAACCTGAACCTGGTATGGTATGGAGACTGAAATGGAAAGTGGGGGCATCCTTGGATTTGATTGGCTGAGGTGAGAGTGCAGATCTGTGCTGATAGGCTTGAGCAGGGAGGTGATTGGTGGGCAGGTAGGACTCTTTCAGTTAAAAGAAAACATGCAAAAACATTTCTTGAAGTTATTTGTGTGAAAAGAGGGGACTTAATGGCACCCTGCTGGAGTGTGGCAGAAGAAGGATGACGCTAGACAAACCCCCCACTGAGAGAATCAGAGAACTTCAGACAAACTGGGTCATTAGACAGACAGATTGCTAATATTCAAACCTGCTGGCTCAACAGCTGATGAGCATTATTTCAAGAGGAACTGCTGGCTAACCCGTTAAAAAGCAAAAATAGTGTAAAGAATGCCTTATTAAACAGAGATCTGATTATCTAAATCGTTAATAAAAATAGAAAACCATTATTTCTAGAAATAATAGAAAACGTTACAAGTATTTGCCCTTT